TTTTCTTAATGATGGAGATAAAATAGAGTTTTAAGGCAGTTTTAATTAGTATTTCCCTAATAACAAAAGATGTTGCCTTAGTTACTATTCTCTTCCTATGAAAGGGACATCGTGACCAAGGACTCTTTTTTTTTGTTTGTTTGTTTTTTGTTTTTTGTTTTTTGTTTTTTTGAGACAGGGTTTCTGTGTAGCTTTGCGCCTTTCCTGGAACTCACTTGGTAGCCCAGGCTGGCCTCGAACTCACAGAGATCCGCCTGGCTCTGCCTCCCGAGTGCTGGGATTAAAGGCGTGCACCACCACCGCCCAGCCAAGGACTCTTAATAAAAGAAAACATCTAATTGGGGTCCTTCTTACAGTTTCAGAGGGTTAGTCCCTTATCATCATTATGAGAAAGCATGACAATAGATATGAAGGCATAGGGCTGAGAGGTTACTTCCTGATCCACAGGCAGCAGGCTGAGAGAGAGAGAGAGAGAGAGAGAGAGAGAGAGAGAGAGAGAGAGAGAGAGAGAGAAAGAGAGAGGCTAGCATGGACTTTTAAAACCTCAAAGCCCACTCCCAGTAACACACCTCTTCCAACAAGACCATACCTCCTAATTCTTCCCAAACAGTTCCACTCTCCTCAGGGACTACTTATATTCAATAAGTTAACAGATTATTAGGGAAGACTCCAACTAATATGGCTGACTAATATTTCTAATCCTCTTAGAAATAGGATTTTAGATTGTAATGTCATACAATATATGGGTGACATATGATCTTTATTCCTTTCTACAGACCTTCAGTAAAATCCTCACAGCTGGCTTTTGCCAGCGGAGTAGATACCATAATTGCTGTGTCCTGTTTTGCTGCTATTCTGAGATTGGACCCTTAGGAACATCAAGGAAGTCCCCAAACACCAGCTTGAAGTAAAATATTATTAAATGTAAGCTTTGTCAGAGGATGGTTTCCACCTTGAGAACTTCTCCTGCTTTTAAACAGCCAAGTTTCTCTCAGGAGAACAAAGCCATGGCCACAAATGCCTCAGTGATGCAGTGATTTCTCTTTGATCATCTTCACATCTGAGAGAACGATACACATAACACCAGGTTGGATTCCGTGTGTGAGCACTCTACCAGGCTGTAGGCACTTTCAGGAAGCATCCATCACCACAGACTTGCTTTGAGGGTCCCTTTTTCTGAATCTCACTGAAGCTGACCAGAAGCCAACCCAATAATTCAGCAATTAGTCACAAAGTTTGCAGGGTGCCACATGATGGAGGTAAGTCCAGTCAATGTGACCACTGAAACTTTTGCTATAAATGGCAGGTATATTCATTTGGTAGGCTGCCACAGTAAAGCCTATTAAAGGGGTGGCTAGACCACATTTCTGTGTGCCTCTGTGGTCTTGCAGTCCTGTCCCTACAAAGACAACAGTAGCACTGGGTTACACTCCTTCCTAAGGACACCATTTTAACTTAATTACCTCTCTAAAGACCCTATTTCCAATACAGTCATATTCTGGGTAAGATTGCAACACATGAATTGTAGGGAATGGACTCAGCCCACAACACACAGTGACAATTAATTTTTTTCTGGAAAAATAGCAGTTTGAAGAAATAGACTCCAAGCAGCAATTCTGTGAGCTATCAGGGGTTGGCTCGAGATGATCTTTTGTGGCAGTCTTTTGAGCTGCTTTTTGAACAGCTACTGAAACTCATAGGTCTTTATAGCTACTCAGACCAATAAAATCCTCTGCCCTTGCTTTCATTGTGGTCTAGCATGCTATCACTCGAAATTAAGCTATTTCTTATGCATGAAGTTGATAGTGAGATCATTGGTTTGAAAACTTAATGTACTGAGTTTGTATTCGATTTGAATGCCATTTTCTTTCTGTACAATAAACTCAAATCTCCTGGCCTTAGAAATTTTAAGTAAGGTCCTCAGATTGCAATGAGTCACAAAGATAAAATATAAGTGTAGCACAAAGGGAAATGCCTTTTTTTCTTTTAAAAAATGCATACAATTAGTCCTCTAGATTAGAGATTCAGGGTGACAAGAATTTCTGCCTTTCACTGCAGGTGGCAATTTTCAATTTATGTTTTATTACAAAGAGCTGTTTGTACTAAGTATACCAATTTGGTCTCCCTGCCCTTTATATAAATCTTAAGTAGCATGTCTGCTGTACCCACAACTCCTATGCCCCTGAACCTTGCTCCCTGGGGAGAAAAATGCACACCCCAAAGTGCAGACTCTGATGCAACAACCTTTTCAGCCAGATAACCAGGATTAGAAAGGAACAGCTTTTCCTTTTCTCTGACAGGGGCCAACTGCAGAGAAACAGGTCAGAGTGTTTAGTCATCTTTATTTCAGGTTTTATCCACATTTTAGTTTTCCTCCAGTTTCATATGCCAAATATTGATGTTACCTAGAAAATTCAAGGGAACAAGATTTTCTGACCAATTCCTGTTTTTATTTCTCCTTGGAAATAACTGGGGAAGTGATATTCTTATGAGCTACTGTGATGGCTGTTCTTCACTGTCAACTTGACATAGCGAATTAACTAAAACCCAAGTGACCTGTAAGGGAATTTTTTTTCTTAATTAAATCATTAAAAGTTGGAAGACCCACTTCTAATCTGGGCCTTTGAGGTGGGAAAATAAAGGTTTAATCTGGGTGTTTTGAGGGGAGAAGATTCACCTTTAATCTGGACCACACCTGCTGACAGCCTAGTCAAAAGACATGAAAGAAGGAAGCTCTCTCTCCATCTGCTTGCTCTCACCCTCACTAGCAAGTCCATTCCTTTATTAGCATTAGAGCCTACTTCTTTGGGATTTCTGCATGTACTTTAGACCAGTGAGACATTCAGCCTCATGAACTGAGCATCTACTGAATTCTTGGACTGTCTGTTCATAGGCAGCCATTGTTGGATTAGCTGGACCACAGCCTGTATGTCATTCTGAAAAAAATCTCATATATATATATATATATATATATATATATATATATATATATGAATTAATAAATTCTAGTATATTATTCTAATATGTTCTAAAAAATCCATATATATCTATATCAGAGAAGAGAAGATATATTCTATAAGTTTTGTTACCCTAGAGAACCTTGACTAATATAGACACTAATGCACTGTTCTCTTCATCTCTTCAGTCAGGAAAATAGAATTAGGGAAGTTTTGTGAGGAGTTACTAGCTACCATAACAGCTGAGGAAAACAAGTTTAAAGCCACTGCACTGCAATATTTTCTCTCACATTGTACATGGAGAACGCTTATTAAAAAAGACATGTTTTGGAAACTGGTTTGTAACATTGCTATCTGTTGTTTGTCAAACATGTCAGCAACTTTAGGAGAGTCTTTGAAGGATGACATAGTTCATAGATTGCAAAGAAAACCAGTGTTTTAGGCTCCTGAACAAAAGGTCAACTGTTACTCTGAGGTCCTGTGTGCAGATGAGGGAACGGCGATGAAACAGAGGGCCTTGGCCTAAGTTGCAAAAAACAGACTTCTGTTTTTGAAGGGTACTTGTTGTGTCTTACTTCACTTCCTAACAGGTCTGTCCTTTCTTTCACCCTGGGTCAGGAACTTTTGCCCAATCCCTGCCTTGTGCCTGATTTGGGATTTACAAGGTGGCCCCGAGATTGACTCATCTCTGTGTTGCCTTTGTCCAGTGTCTTTCAAGAAGAAACGGTCCATTATACCTAGAATCCAGGCACAGCAGGAAAGGAAGATGTCTACAAAGACAGAGACACAGAAAAGTACATGTATTTCTCTCCAGTCCTAAGTGTGGACATTGGTCAGTCATCACTCCCAAACAGAAGAGCCTGTAGAGAGAAACTACAGATTGCATCTGCCTCTTAGTACAACTGAACTGAGCTCTCCAGTCACAGAACTACAAACCATTTACCACAAATTCAGGTTAATGCTGGGGCTTCTTTGCTTCCTTTGTTACATGAAATGTCTCTCGCAAAGTCAACTGGGAAAAAAAAGTTCTCCTGAAAGCTAGTTCATAAACAAAAGCTAAAACAACAAAAACCTTGAAAAGGCTTCTCCATTTTTAAGAGAAATTTTTTTAATGCTTTTCAGTTTAAAAAGAATGGCTACTTTTCAAAACAGATTGTATATGCTAGAAAAAAGTATGTCTGGTTAGGTTAGCTGGGTATTTATATTAATAATTAATATCACAAAAGCAAAGTATACAATGAAAAAATACATACACCATGGCCTATTGACAATGAGCCAGTCAGAGTTTGGGAAAATTTTGTCTGTCTTTTTTGACTAGAGATAGGAGGAGTGACCAAGAGAAATATGCCCCATGCCATTGGTACAACTAAAAAAAAAAACCTTAGTAGCCATATTAGTAAAAACCTATAGATAAAATTAATCTTGGTATTATATTATCTATTATACTTGATACATATATTTTATATATAATGCCCTAAAATATATTATAGAACCAAAATATTAGATTTTAACAATAGTCAATGCTTATACACCAGACATTTTACTGAAAGTTATTAATTAGGTCTTGTGTATTTTCCCCACACTGTCATTGAATCTGAGGTACATTTGCCAGCCCACTTCAGTGTGAACTAGCTCCACATGTATGTTCAGTTGGGATGGGTGACCAGAGCCCACCATATCGAACAGTATACACATAGAAATACAATTTGTATGTTCTCTAATTCTTATGCTCTCTGTGTCTTTCTGTGTCTCGGTTTATGAAAATTTTTTTGACATGAATATACCTATAAGGAAAACACTCTTGGGGAGAGATGGAAACCTTGACTTCCTTCTTTGCACCAAATTTTCTGAATAATCGTATTTATAAGTTTATAATTGTTTGTTTAAAGAACTACTACAGTCTTGTTAAATAGCAGCTCTACAAATAATTAAAATGCACTATGGTGATGAAGCAGAATTGAATTCACTACTCATTAGAGCATCCTCCTTCTTTGGTAGTGTCTTGGACAGGAGAAGGAAAATCAGAATTTATTGAGAACTGAATTTGCTATAAAAATTGATCTTTAATACAGAGAGTAGATTCAAATTAGGTGAAAATTGGTAAAGCATTTTCACATTACAGAAGCAGAAGTCAGGCAAAAGTTTGAAAAAATCTTTGGAGAAACCTCTCTCATATCTTCCACTGAAGGGTTCATAGGTATTTCCAGAATTTTCTGTGATGAGTCATCAAGTTACATGAACATCAAATTATGACAATTAACACAGGTGGTGGTAGTGCACTCCTTTGATCCTAGTACCTGGGAAGAAAAGGCAGGTAGATCTCTGAGGTCGAGGCCAGCCTGGTCTAAAAAGTGAGTTCCAGGACACTGTCATGAAAAAAATAAGGCAGAAAATACCAAACATCAAATATAATCATGTTAACAAAAATAACCTGTTGAGCAGGAAGAAGAGTCAGCACTTTCCAGTGTGTGTGTATAAATTACAATGCAAACATGTCAGGCAAGAGGAATTATCTTCTTTCTCACATGTACTCACACATAAATGAATACACACACACACACACACACACACACACACACACACACACACATCAGTAAAAATCAAGCAAAGATTTTTAAGGAGTCAAGAAATCTACTTGAGCTCCAATGGGTCCAGGCCAAGTGTCTACACACATGGATTTGTCTTCTTACACTGTAAGCCAACCCTCAGGAAGTTCTTGCAAGGCTCCATGTGGAGCAAGATGGAGTCCAATCAATGAGAGAGAGGAGGGAGGGATTCTAAGAGCAAGGAACATCGAGATCATGATGGGAAAATGTACAGAGATGGCTGGGCAAACAAGTGGAAACACGTACTATGGACCAATAGCTGTGGAGGTCCCATGGTACTGGACTAGGCCCTCTGGATAGGTGAGGCAGTTGCTTAGCTTGAACTGTTTAGGGGGCCCCCAGGCAGTGGGTTCGGGACTGGTGCATGAGCCGGCTTTTTGGAGCCTAGTGCCTGTGGTGGGACACTTTGCACAGCTTTGGTGCAGGGAGGAGGAGCTTGGACCTGCCTCATCTGAATGTACCAGGCTCTGCTGACTCCCCAGGGGAGACCTTGCCATGGAGGAGGTAGGAATGGGAAGTGGGTTGGGAAGGAAGGCTGGGGTGGAGGGTGGCAGGAGGAGGGAGGAGAGGGGAATCTGTGGTTGGTATGTAAAATGAATAGAAAGTCTCTTAATAATAATAAAAACAATCATCTTGATTCCCAGATGAGTGAGCGAGCTCCTCTTCTCTAGAAGCTTATGTTCCAGTCTGATGAGGGAAGTTTACAAAAGAAAAGAGGAGCAATAACAGTGATCAAAGAAGATGTGCTACAGAGGGAACCAGAAGGGGATAAGGAGGACTTTTTAAAGCCGAGTGTTGACTTGTAGCTTCGAAAATGTGGGGAGGCCATTTCAGGATGTGTGAGCAACTGCTCCCACTTGATACAGAGGATTCCTGATGGATGACCCCAAAGCACATGTCCAGGATATACAGAAGCCTCCCGGTAAGTGACAAGAGGCTGAGCTCAAGGTGAGCTTGAACAAGGTTTGCCAGGCGCTGACACCAGGCCTTGTAAGCAAAGTCAGTTCCATCAGCTAGGAACTAATGGTGCTTGCTTTACCCTGCTACGGCTAGCTTGGGATGCAGTATAGCTTTTGAACAAAAGATATATGATTTTCATTTCGTAACAGCTATGTGTCAATCCATCCCACCAGTAAACTATAGTGAGGATCTCAGTTTAACCTTTGCTAGAGGCTGAATTTGTTTTTCTTCTCACATTCAAGAACTTAAGGGAGTAGGGGAAATTATCCAGCTAGGGCTGTTGCACTCTGGCTGCTTCTATCTTGTGTTTCTGTTACACAAGTTTTTCATAGCCAAGAGCATCTTGACATACAAAATGATGGCCGGCATTCCACTAATGCAGCGTCCATCCAACCATGATAAGAACACTGCCAGAGTCACCATACCATCTTCACACGACATCCAGTCTAGTAATGCTTTGCTACATTGCATCGACCGGATCTAGAAACTGATCATGTCTACCAGCAAGCTGGCTGAGAAACAGTCTTTTTTTCCCCAGGAAAATATGTACCCAACTAAAAGCTGGGATTTCTATATTCCATATAGTTAGTAGAAACAAACATAAGGAGATTGTTAAAGTCTTTTGTACTGTCTCATTTCTTCTTGTAACATGAAATGACTACTTATTTATTTATTTATTTATTTATTTATTTATTTATTTATTTAGCATTATTCTACCTCAAAAATGTGTATTGGGCTATAATACTAGAAAAAAAAGGCAGGGGATGAATAAGAGTTTGACTTTGCTTACTACAACCTGATAGGCTGTGTTTTGTGGACAATCATGGGGGGCCTGGCCTTTTCTGAGTAAAAATGGGGGAGCGGTGGAGATGGGGTGGCAGAGAGGGGTGGGAGGGGAGACTTGGGGAGAGAAAGGAGGGGAAACTGCAGTTGGGATGTAAAATGAATAATAAATAATAATTTTAAAATGGAGTTTGCCTGTAGAGGACAATCTAGAGGGAGAAAGCAAGGACACATACAACTAGAGAATAATATCATAAATATCAGAAGAAACTGTCTGTCCAGGTGAGGTCATGACTTACCTGGTAAGCTGCTGGAAACTCAGGTGAAACTCTACAGGGATGGGTGGCTCATGTTTGCTTTATAGTAATGGAGAGTAATGGGTAAAGGAGGGGAATGTCTCGTCAAATTACACCTGCACTAAGAAGTATGAGTGTGAACTAGTATGTGGGATCCCTGCAGTTCTCCTTGAGTTATTGGTCAGACTTGATACATTGAACATAACCCAACTGATTGCTTGACCACACTATGTAATAACCAGTGTATTTCCCATACAGCTGGTCAGGTCACTGCTATCAGAGCTAATAGGTGAAGAGATGGTGAAATAAATGGATTGTTAGGTTGTAGTTCAGTGAATATAAACTCAGAGTCGAACAAAGCACCAGAAAAAGAAAAGAAAAGAATCAAGCAGAAGCTGTATGTGCTATCCCTTGGGTCCTACACCACACATTCTGAGATAATTCCCTCTCTTCTTTCAACCTCCCTCTTGGGCCAACTGTATTGCATCAGGAACCTTACAAGACAGCCACTCCCCAAGCTGGTTTCAGGAGGATACCTGGCCAGGTGATACCCTCATCCATCTCGGAGAAATGATTCCTCTGTCAAGCAATGCCTTGCTCGTCTTTTCCCCAGGACCTTGAAAACACAAAAAGGGCGATGACTTTGAAAACAACAATGACCTCGGAAGGACAAACAAGAGGATTTCTGGTAGTATTTAACATTAATAGTATTAACAAAATAGCAATATTTCCAGGTGATTCTGGCACTTGGAGTCAATGCTCTGAAGCTACCGCCACACCCCAACTCCTAGGATGTTGTCACTGTCACCAGGCCTAGCCTCCTGTGCTGCCGTTCCCTTCTGAAACAAGCACAAAAGAGCTGTGATAAATCACATCCGCAAGATGCGTTTCATATGTCAACCACACAAAGCTTCTAAATCAAATGCTGATACATGACTTATTCCATCAAAAGTAAGCAGAATGCTGTAATTTATAATCATCTCGAAGCATACTGCAGAGAAAATGAAAGCAGACCATTAAATTTTAATGCTTGTTCGGCTCTCTAAAAAAGGGGGGGGGGGGGGGGGAGGTTGGCCATATTGGAAGGGAAGCAATGTTCTTCATACCATTCCGTGCCCCCCCCCCCAAATTAGTTTGCCTTTGCCAACATTTGTGGAAACTAATTGAAAAAATGATTTAGCTGTCAAAAGCGGCCATTAGCCAGGAAGTACTCACGAGCTCAGAGAAAATTCTTGCAGAGTAGGTCCTGTCCAAAGCTCCAACATTCCCCACCCTTTAGCTTTTGACAATTGTCTGTTGTTGTGCGAGCCAGCTCCCCACAGCAGGACTGTGAGCAAATATTCATTGGGGTGTCATCTCTACTTAGGCTCTCGTCCTGCACACCTATTCATCTGTGTTAAGGGAACAGCGGCATCAGCTCAAATTAAGCTGGCTTGAAAACAGCCACTGTTAATAATTTCTGCTGTGATTCAACTTAGCTTTGGCTAACAGGTGAAGATGTTTCATAACGGAGGCAATTACAGCTCTGAGAGTGCTTTCCCGCTGCCCATGTAATCAGAGGAATGGGACACCGGCTCCTCACGTGCATGTGGGGAAAGGCCAACCCAGCCACCATCCATCCGCTGCATTCGTTATCTGCTAGATTGAACAGGCTGCCTGCCGGGGACAGATGCTTAGCATGGTGATTAGAATATAAAGCAATTGCAAAGGCTGAAGGGATTGGAGTCAGTCTCCTTTATCTCAACATAGTACAGGCTTTTCTGGTCAGATAACAAGTCTTCCAAACGGTTCTTTGTAGATGAGAAATCATATGTATGTCAATGCATGAAGACTCATGCATATTCATTAATCTGTACTCTGAATTTTCATTTAGGTTGAAGGCTATAGAAAAGGACGGGGTCGGGGGGAAGTCTTCTAGTCTATGCAATTTTAGTACCTTTTATGACCTAGTTTTTACGACAAGGAATATAGAGAGGCTGTGTTAAACCAGTATAATAAAAATGCTTGCCAAATTTTCCCTTATTTTCTGCGATTGAATATCTTGATGGTTGTACAGATTTCTAAACAGCTTTTATAGTTGAATTTAAAAAGGAAAGAGAAGTAAAACTTTACAATGTACAACCCTTGGCTTTGACTTATTTTATAAAGAAAAAAAAACTGAAATTAGGTGCAGATTTCACTGCTGCTTAAATTATAGAGACAGTATGCGTCTGTCAAAAGGAAATCTATTGTCACTCCTTTTTTTTCCCTATCAGCTATGCATACCTTCAAATTACAGGAAAATCATAACTGAATACTTGTTAATTGTGCAGACTTTTCAGGGAGTTCACTCCCAGCCAAACATTTTTCTCTCTCCTACAAAAAAGAAAGTCAAGCAGTCTAAATTGAATTTTTGTACATTACAACATCCTGAAATGTAGTTGCTAATGGCTTCCAATGTGCCTAAAGGCACAGATCTTAAACAGCCTTTTGTTCCCCTCCCAAATGAAACTGGGAAAATGAAAAAGACAGTTTCTTTGGCTTCACTTTCCATTGTGTGCGTTCATCTGCTTCCAGGGTGGTTTCCTTTCGTGTGTTTTCCTTAGAAGATCTACAATCAGCTCCTTGGTTGGTTATGTTTGAAACACAATTGATGATACAACAGTGCTTCCCAAAACTCAGCAAGCTTTTTGTGAACCACAAAGCTGCCAAGAAGGGTGGGGAGGAAGGACAGGGCTCAGGGGGCTGGCCACATGCTCACTTCTTTTCAATGCAATCTTCCAAGGGGTTGGGGATTCTGATTTTTCTAACACCGAGGTTACAGCAAGCTATCATTTTATTTCTATCTAAGTTATTTTTAATGGCGATTATGGTTGTATTGATTGTCTAGCAAGCTCTGAAGGGTTCTCTTTGTTTCTCTCCTTGTCTGTCTCTCTGTGTAAATATGTATGCAAATGTATGTGCTTAAGACTTGAGCACAGGAAGAAAGGAATAAGAGTTTGTAATTGCTAACTATGTGATCCAATACTGTCTTTGAAATACCTGTTTAGCAGGCTAGCAAATGACCTGTCTCTTTTAAAAGATAGTTCTTTCTTCTTTCTTCAGTTTCATCCATCTTGCCTATCTTAGAATATCCTTAGCTGGAATCCACTGCCTCCTCTGTCTTCCCCAGACAATTACCGTTGCTCCCTAGCCTTGCAGCTTTGAAAGCCCGTGTAACATTAGCCTATCTAGCCCAGTGAAAACGTCTGTACAGATTAGTGTAATGTTAACACTGCTGCCTCCCTGCTTTTGACCCCAAGTGCGATAGATTGTGCTGCCGCAGCAGATGGAATCAGAGTTTCATTGGGCTTCAGAGATTGGTTGGCTGCTTGCCAGGGGTGCCTGCGATGGGGGCCCAGAAGCCCTGCTTAAAATGCACGCTTCGATCTTATTCTCTGTTCTTGAAGAGAGAAAACAAAAGTGTCACCAAAGTTTGTGTGGAATCAAAATACATTTGTTAAAATCATTCATCTGCAGATGTTTACCCAGCATTTGAAAAGTAATTGAATCTTTTGGTGTAAAATAGAGATATCTTTATTCTATTTCGCTGAAAGACATGAAGGCAGGAGACAAAAGCCAAAGCCACAAAATGGAAAAATGAAAGGAAATGATCTGAACTCCATTTAACCTTCCAGCTGAATACTAGTCTTACCAGAATACCAAAGTGTGCATGGGGAATGCTCAAAGTTGTCTCTCCTTTTATGAGCGCCAACAGATCTTAGTCTAAAATAATAACCCGAATTCATAAATGAAATAGAAAGCTAAGTTTACACAACCAATGTAAAACAATCACCCAGACAGTCCCACACCAGAATCTAAAACTTGGTACCAGGAGATCTGGGCCCCAAGTTCTCCATAGCTGCTCTCATAATGAGTACATGTTTCAGAGAGATGTTCTTCATCCATAGTGGCTCTGCATTCACACAAAGAAGTGTGGAACCATATTCTTTCAAATTAGATATGCCTGAAACCAGGGTTTCCTTTCACCCAGAATGCTGGGAGCATTGGTTAAAAACTTTAATAGAGGCAAAAGAAAACTATTGTCACAATATTTCATGACATATATGTGTGTCTATGCTTATATGGAACTAAATATATATGTAATTAAATACGTATATAAAGAGAAGTATATGGATGATTCTAATTTTATTTTGGGATTCAGATAAATAGCTGATGGTATTTTCATATAAAAATACCCAAATTATTGCATGAGACATGAAAAAATTTGGGATTCACTTATATATATTTTAAAAACTATTAATTGTTTAAACATGGAAGCTGATTTCTGAAAAATACTCTATTTTTTTCTGTGTCAACTTTGGAGAAGAATGCTAAATGTAGAGCACCCCATCCTGTCCAACAAACTTTTCAGTTCACCTCATCTTTTGTACTTATTCATCAGGTTATCCTTAAGTTTATTTTAATCATATTTTCCCCTCCAGTACCGGCTTCCCAAAGCAGTCAAACATATGCTGTTTGCTGCCTAAGTAGATGGGTAATGTAAGCTGTGATGTGGAAAGAATTCTTCTCTTATCCTCTCCCTCTGAGAGTGCAGTTACAGAAACATATATATGAGCTTTTATCTGTGATAAGAGCTGCCATCTGCTCGCTGCAATGTGCACAGCTTACCGTCTGAAGTGCTTATACACATTACGAAAACACGCAGCTTTTGTGTATGCTGAGAACACGTATAGGCGGAGCTCTAATAGGCCAGAATATTAGCTCTTTGAGAATGTCAGAGGGCCACAAAATACAGTCATGACGGTGGACAAGAGAGATTACAGCTGGCAAATAGCCGTGTGTGTATTCCTGCCAGCAGCATTTCGGTGACCTTTTAATATTGGGTTATTTGTAGCCTCTTCCTATGAGATAATTATTTTAAAGAAGACATGAGATCTTTTCAGAGAGGAGAGGCGTCTTCTTCCTCCGAGGCGTAGACACGTCATGCCTGAGATACCTTGAGAGATGCTGTGCTCACGTGTGAGTAGCAAGGGAGGCTAAGGCAACACGACAGAACGTATAAATCGGAGTTAATTTGACCTTTCATCCAGGAAAGCATGGCAAGGAATGCACCAGGAAGGTTGGTTTGTAGCTGTCTGGAGACTGATAAGCTATAATAAAGGTGCACTCAGTTGCAATTCATCTAAAGCGACCATGGCTAGCATCCTCCTTTTTCGAGTTTTGTTACCTCGAGTACTTATCTAAATCCCTTTCAATGCCAGCTTGAATCACGTTGTGTTCTCACCCACTGCGACTGGGGCTGTCTGTGTGCTTCAGAGTGCGGCGGCGGCGGCGGCGGCGGTGGCGGTGGCGGCGGCACACTCTCTTCCCCTTGCTTGACAAGAGCCAATGCCAACACCTAATTAAGGATAAGCCACAGAGCTCCCTGCTTTATCTTTGTCAACGGCTCCATGCCTAGCTTTCTGCCTAGTTGAGTTTTTAATGGCATGAGCAACAGTTCGGTTCAGTGTACCTCAGCCTGCCTGTCCCTGATCTTAGTAACTAAATATGGCCAACAGCCACAGCAGCAGTGAGATGGTGGTCATTTTGTTTGTTTGTTTGTTTGTTTTGGGTTGCCTGAACACGACAGAGGAACGTGGCCACCCTGCTGCTAAGGCACGGCTTACCCACTCAGTGCACATAATAGGAGAGGACAGAAATGGTGGAGGGGAAATTCAGTAGTCCCTCCCCAAAGTTCTCCAACAATTTCCAGGTACCTAATCTAGAAGGAAAAGGCTTGTCTGGTTCAATCTCATATTACACTGTACTATGCATTCTAACTCAGTTCTGTACATGTAAAGATTAATCCTTCCCTAAAACTCCGGCAAGATCACATTAAGGTGCCTGACAGCTTCAGACAGTCAATTAATGATGTGTTAGAAATATAAAGTATGGCATCTTTTGAAATATAAATATGAGGGAGAGGAAGGGAGCCAGGGATTCTTGGTTTGCTTTGCTCTAGAAGTGCAATCCTGTCCCTGGATCCTGGCTTCCATTGTTATTTCAGTCTCTCCATTCGCATTTCTCTTGGCTGTTGAACTTCAGATTTATGTTCACTGTTTTCAGTTGTCGGGGAAAATGGCGCAGGGCTCAGAGCTACCTCAAGACAGGATTATTTGCTGAAGTCTCATTGAAACAACACAAACAACAAAACCATGTAAGTGCTGTCCTGATTGTGTACATCATCAGTGCTGGTGTGAGTTTTGTGCAGGTGAGGACACCAAGATTCAGTGGGGAGAGAAATGGATTATGCGTCCGATCTTTTATTACTGTTTCATGTCAACTTTATTTTTTTTAATGTTGCCCCATGTCTACTGTTCTGACTTCAGTTTTTTTTTAAGCCCACTTGGATGATTTTCTTTTCATTCCATTTAAAGTTTTGTTTTTACTTCTAATTCTGGCTAACAAGTTAAATAAAAGCATTTCGTCTGCAGACAAAGAAGAGTTGAAGTACCCTACAACAGAGGAACACATCATGAGTAAATGTGACAGATCAAT